TGATTTTTATAGGTAGGTGTATATATGATATGTGAAATATGTTTAATTTAAAATTAGATAATGTTTGGCAGTTCACCACACCACATACATGCACATACATGGGAGGCTACATACATAATATGAGAAGCTGGACAGCTTGTTTTAATGATAATGTGTTGAAGTGAATCACTGTACTTAGGGTCTGGTCCTAGCTGTGCCAATAACCAGCTATGTTGCTTTGGGCAGCCACAAAAACACTCTCTGTGCCTTGGTTTTTTAATCTGTAAAGTATGGGAGTTAAGATGAGATCTTTAAGATCCTTTTCAGCTTTAGTATTTGATAATCTTTTGGGGGGAAAAAATCAAAGATAAATTACTAGTGGCTGGTTATTTCTGCCTTTTTTGTTGCTTGACTGTAAGCTGTTTCGGCATTATTTCTGTTAGATGTAGAAGTTTAACGTAAAAGTTTATTTTGCTACCTCTAACTCTAGAGAAGAAAATTTTGAAAATGGAGGGGTTTGAAACAACTGAAGAGTAATGTCTAGGTATCAGGATGATTGGAAGGTATCTCATATTTGTTGAACATGCTCTGTGCTAGGCACTTTGCTAGGCATTTAACATAGTTATAATCACAGATGAATTTCAGGTGTTCATAATAGAGCTTTCTAATTATAAGAGTTACAGGTACATAGTTGCCTTTAAGAAGGGTATTCCTACAAAAGTAAATTTAATGATCCTTATACTTCATTCACCTTGGTAAGAACAATATAGTCATCCCTCCATATATGCACAGGATTAATTCTAGGATCTGATATCCCACCCCCCCACTCCTGTTTACCAAAATTGGTACATACTCAAGTCCCCAAGTTGACCCTGCAAGAACCCACATATAGAGAAAGTCAGCCTTCTGTATACTCGGGTTTCACATCCCATAAATACTGTTTCTCAATCTGCGTTTGACTGAAAAATATCCACATATGAGTGGACTTGCTTAAGTTGTTCACGGGTTAGCTTTATTAATGTTTGTTCTTTGAATTATAAAATTGCTTTCACATTCGTTTTATAATAATTTTGTATAAACTGATTATGCAGAAGAAATAAATATAAATTCAAATCCCTATTTTTTGATCACATAATTAGGGTAGCATATTCTAAGCTGTTTTTTTTAGTGTGACTGTTTAGAATTTACTATTTCTCCATTTATAAACTTAGAGTAAGAATGCTTAATGATCTAGATAAAAATGATTCTATAATGCTGACTATATTAAACCATTCTACTTTTTAAAGACTTATATTATAAAATTTTATTTTTAAAAATTATATATAACTTATATTTCAAATTTTTATATTTTTAGATCTTGCTATAAAGTTTTGATTCCACATCTGGTGATTAGAAGTCATTTTGATGAGGTGAAGTCTATTGCAAATCAGATTCAAGAGGATTGGAAAAGTCTTCTAACAGACTGCTTTCCAAAGATTCTTGTAAATATTCTTCCTTATTTTGCCTATGAGTATACAGGAGACAGTGGAATGGCACAGCAAAGAGAGACTGCTACCAAGGTCTATGATATGCTCAAAAGTGAAAACTTACTGGGAAAACAGGTATGGCTTCAACTTTTACCTACTTTTTAATCCCCTAATTGATCTGAGATGTAAGCTTTAAATTTTAAGGCTATTTATTCTTATTTATACAATTAAATTTAGCTTGTGGTAATCACTGTCTAGCATAGCCAACCCGTGAATTTTTTTGATTATGTGATGTTCTTTCCCTTTGATTGGTATTTAAATAAGTGGAAATGTTTTTAATCAGAAGTAACAGGCCGGACACGGTGGCTCACGCCTGTAATCCTAGCTCTCTGGGAGGCCGAGGCAGGTGGATTGTTTGACCTCAGGAGTTCGAAACCAGCCTGAGCAAGAGCGAGACCCCGTCTCTACTAAAAATAGAAAGAAATTAATTGGACAACTAAAAATACATAGAAAAAATTAGCCGGACATGGTGGCACATGCCTGTAGTCCCAGCTACTCGGGAGGCGGAGAGCCCAGGAGTTTGAGGTTGCTGTGAGCTAGGCTGACGCCACGGCACTCTAGCCCGGGCAACACAGGGAGACTGTCTCAAAAAAAAATAAAAGAAAATATTTTGCTCATTTTAAAAAATTGGATTGTTTTAATCCAATTTTTATATTCCGAATATAAATATGCAATCTAGCCCGGGCAACACAGTGAGACTCTGTCTCAAAAAAAAAAAAAAAAAGTAACAAAAGAAAATACTTTTGAATAATTTTATTGCTTCTGTCTTTTTAAAATTTATTTTAATTGCGAGTAATACATGAATGCAAGCTGGATGTGTGTTTTTTTTGAGACAGAGTCTCGCTTTGTCATCTGGGCTAGAGTGCCATGGCATCAGCCCACCTCACAGCTACCTCAAACTCCTTAAGCAATTCTCCTGCCTCAGCCTCCCGGGTAGCTGGGATTATAGGCACACACTACCATGTGCTTACCTGGCTAATTTTTCTATTTTTAGTAGAGATGGGGTCTCACTCTCGCTCAGGCTGGTCTTGACCTCAAGTGATCCTCCCGCCTCGGCCTCCCAGGGTGTTAGGATTACAGGTGTGAGCCACGGTGCCTGGCCCAAGCTGGTTGTTAAATTCAAATAACACTGAACAGTGTATAGGAAATCTTCACTCCCTCTGCATTCTCACCAAGCTTTCCATTTTTCAAGGAAAAGTGCCATCCCAAGTTCCCATACCCTGCTCTTTCTTTTATCATGACACTTATTACCTTCTAACATATGATATAATTTACTTTTGAATTATATTGACTGTTTATCAGTCTTCTCCACTATAAGTGCTGTGAAGCTAGGATTTTTGTCTTTTTTTGAGGATGTATATCCAACCACCTGGTATATTTTGGGTACTCATTAAGTAATTGTTAAAAGAAGGAGTCAAGTACAGATCTAACAAACTTTGTTTGCTTTATAATAATTTGTATACATCCAAACTTATTTGCAGCAACTTACATTGAAACACATATAATTTTTTTTAATGTAAAAAAGGTTCGTTCACTCCAAATTTAACTGTGTATTTATTTATTTTGGATGTAAGGGCCGATTAACCAAACTAGTTTAATATTAGAATTACAATTGGATAAACTTAAAGACATTATTTTTAGTTTTCTAGTTATCTATATTGAACCAAGAAGTGGAACATCAAGTCCCTCAGTTGCTTAGGTAGAACCAGTCAGATCTGGTTGTAAGTCTGTAGTCTGGAGGCTAATAATTTCTTAGCACCTTGATTAAAGACATGAGTTAAGTTTTTGCTAGTTTCAGTTTCATTTAGCATTAAGTTTTAGTTATAACTTAATTTTTTGTTTCTCTAATATATACTTTCTCTGAATCAAACTTCTAGATTCATTTTTTCTGTGTGTAAGTATTAGTACAACTATTGTCAGTCTTTGAGTCTTCTAAAACTATCAGTTGTTGAATACCTAAAATATTTACAGTTTATAAGTTTGTTTAGCTATACCTACACATTTGAACCATTTATGTATACCTTAGCTAGATGTTACAAATCAGGGTTATTACATATGAAACTAGTGAAGTCAGTTATATTATATGCAAGGGAACTCATTAATTTTTCCTGTGATATTAATGAAATTTGGCCAGTTTTTCCTCACGTATTCCAGATAGACTTTGGAATGAGGCTGAATTTTAAAAGGGCTGAAACCAGATAGCAGAGTGGCGCAGCAGAAGCGTGCTAGGCCCATAAAAGGGCTGAGACCTTGGAGATTATGACATGGACAACTGATGAATAAGCCTGAGGAAAAAGCTAGGATCTTTACATTAGATTTCTTTCTTGTCACCTTCTAAAATGTTTTTTATTAGGAAGTGTATTTTTGAACTTGCTTATGCATCAAGTAAATTAGCCATTTGCCTTTTAGTTTAGAACACTGTGATTCCTTATTTGGAGAGTTAATAAATCCACCTTTAAGACTTCACAGTTCTCATTCATTCAGCTGAGGTATAACATAGAAAGCTCATTCTTCATATTTAGAGAATTTATTCCCTTTATGAAGCTACCTGTCTGTAGTGGGAAGCAGATTGATGAAAAGTCTGCTTCTCTTGGGGAGGACTTTAGCTTACTGTTGATGAAATGGGATGTGGGTAGCAGCTAGCCTCAGAATTTGGGATGTCACTTGAGTAGAAGTCTGGGAAGGAGTCATGCAGGAAACAACGATGGGATTATTGCCAGTCACTGGGGATTCTTACTAGTAAAGTTCTATAAGTGAGACACAGTTCCCAAATAAGTCAAGTGTAAAATGTAAATTGAGGAGCAGTATAGATCAGGGGGGAATTTGGTTGGCAGGAGAATTGCTAAACTTGAAGTCTCAGTCAAAATGATTTTTTAAAATTAAAGAGTTTGATTAAGGGCGCCTTATTTAGTATGATTTCCCTACATTTCCTCTCAGTCTGTAGGTCAGCATAGAAGAAAAAGGTAGAATTATATATCTGGAGATTTTAGATTTTTGGTCATCCATTTTCTTTTATAGACCCTGAATAATTTTGGAAATAGGCAATAACATAAGCCCTTTGAACTGTCTTAAAGGTCACAGATATAAAAATATTAAATATATTTTAATTTTGTATCCTTGCAGATTGATCATTTATTCATTAGTAATTTACCGGAGATTGTGGTGGAGTTATTGATGACATTACATGAACCAGCAAATTCTGGTGCCAGCCAAAGCACTGACTTCTGTGACTTTTCAGGGTATGCACATTTTAAACTTAGAGAATTAGCTGCAACTTCACAAGTCCCTAAGGAAGTTTACTGGTTGACACCTTCAAATATCTGTTTCAGTTGTTAGACATGTACTCTTTTTTAAGTTTGTTCCTTTAAAAATAGCCACATTTGAATTAAGTTAACTACCTATCTTCTTTTACTATGGCCTGCCCAAATCAATTACTCTTTCTAGTTGACCACTTTGTTGGCAAACCCAATAATCTTTTTCTTCTCAATCTTTCTATAATATTTGAGCATTATGCCATCTGTTATCTCCTGAAATTTTTTTCTCCCTGCATGTTATGCCTCGTTCTCTTCTCCTTATTATCTATGAATTGCTTTTATAGATCACCTTTTCTTTATCATGCTCCTTAGCTATACAATTTAATTTGCATGTCAAAACCCCTTGGTTGTATATGAATGTTAGAGTATTTTATTTTCCCAGCTTGATTGTAAGCTACTTGAAAATACCCTTTACTTTTTTTAATATGCTCTACTGTGCTAGACATATAAAATAGTGATAATATCTAACAGAGTACTTTCACATATAATTTCATTCTCTGTAAATAATGTTGATTGCCATGTCTAAAATACTACTGATTTTAAAGTACTAGCATAGAGTTTTAATTCAGACCTGAAGTGACATAATACTAAGGCTCATTTGTGGAGCTGCCAATAACTTTGTAAAAGATTAATTAAGCAAATCATTTAGGAGTGTTCAAATCATAGAGGGTGAAAGGCGTTTAGATATCCTGGCTGATATGGACTGTGATATGTCATTTGTGATATTGTTAAAAGTATAGTTTTCCAGTAGAAAAATAGTTTAAAATTTGGGCATTATTATCATCTAAATTTTCACGTTGGAAGTTCACTGGTCTATCAACAAAACCTATTTTTTCTTGATAATTTTGTTCTGAAAATGATGACTGCATTTTTTCATATCACTCTTCTAGGGATTTGGATCCTGCTCCTAATCCACCTCATTTTCCATCACATGTAATTAAAGCAACATTTGCCTATATCAGCAATTGTCATAAAACCAAGCTCAAAAGCATTCTAGAAATTCTTTCCAAAAGCCCCGTAAGTATACATGGCTAGTATAATAATGGAAGAGGGAATTCCTTCCTTTTCAGCTAGAAAATCTGTTTAAGTACTACATCTTTAAGAGGGAAAGTAAACAAATGAAAAATTTATCTAAATCATTTAAAAAGAAAAACACTCATTTATAAATTTATGCCTTGGTATTTTACTTGTCAGTATTAATTGATATATGTTATATATGAGGCCAGAATTTCATGACACTTTAGTCGTATATTAGCTCAGGGAATGTATTTACTTTTTCATAAGAACACACTATTGATTATAGTTTACTATCGAAAAACTAAAAAAATTGGTAATAGCCTTTTTACGTTCACGATAGTAATTTAAAAAAAAATTTTTGTTGCTTTTGGTTTTGAAATAATTATAGATTCACAGAAAGTTATAAAAGAAAAAAAAGAAGCAAAGAGACATGGAGGGCCCATCTGCCTTTCACTGAGCTTCAGCCGTGGTAATATCTTGCATAACCAGAGTACAATATCAAAACCAGGAAATTGTACATTGGTACAATCTGGAGAGCTAAGACAGTAATTTTCTTAATGAAGCATTTTGCATTTTATATCAAACAAATCTAAATTCTGCTATTTATTTTAAATATAAAATGAATTTATTATAGCTGAGAATATATAATTAGGCAAGTTTTTACTAAATGTATGTTTATTTTCTAGGATTCCTATCAGAAAATTCTTCTAGCCATTTGTGAGCAAGCGGCCGAGACAAATAATGTTTATAAAAAGCACAGAATTCTTAAAATATATCACCTATTTGTTAGTTTATTACTGAAAGATTTAAAAAGTGGCTTAGGAGGAGCTTGGGCCTTTGTTCTTCGAGATGTTATTTATACTTTGATTCACTATATCAACAAAAGGTAAATAATATGTTTGGATCAATATATAAGCAGTCTTTCTACCGTTTCTTTTAATTGGAAATTTATATGCTTCTAAGAGGTAAACTCCAGAGTATTGCTTTCTGAATTTTGCTTTTTAATATGTCTATTATATCTACCTGTTAGTTTTTTGAAATTGCACTTCTACTTCTCCAACTCTGGAAATCTTAAATAGAGCCGGGCATCGTGCCTCATGCTTGTAATACAGCAACTGGGAGGCTGAGGTGGGAGGATCGCTTGAGGCCAGGAGTTTGATACCAGCCTGGTCAGCATCTTAAGAACTAAGAATCTTCAGTACTTAGTACTAGGAATCTTCAGCTTTTAATACAGATGTTCTAGCTGTTGATACCCTCAAATAAATATGCTACTATAGAATAGGGGTTGTTCTCTGGTATTTTCCATTGATTTTAATGAAATTTCTATTATTTGTTAGGGCTTTTAAAATTGTGGTAAAATATATAACATAAAATTTTTCATTTTCACCATTAAATGTCCAATTTAGTGACATTAATTACCGTCACCCCATCTATTTCCAAGACTTTTCCATTACCTCTCTACTCATTAAGCAATAACTCCATATTCCTCTTTCCGTCCAGCCCCTGAGAGACTCTAATCTGCTTTCTGTTTCAGTGAATTTGCCTATTCTAGGTATTTCATATAAGTGGAAAATTGTACAATATTTGTACTTTTCCGTCAAGCTCATTTCACTTACCATAATGTCTTCAAGGTTTGTTTGTGTTGTAGCATGTGTCAGAACTTCATTTTTTTAATAGATGAATAATATTCCATTGTATATGCTTATCCAGTTATTAGTTAATGAACACTTGGGTTGTTTCTACCTTTTGGCTATCATGAATAATGCTGCATTGTCTATTGGCATACAAGTATCTGCTTGAGTCCCTATTTTCAATTCCTTTGGGTATATACCTAGGAAGGGCATTGGTAGGTCATATGGTAATTTTATATTTAACTTTTTGAGGAACTGTCAAACTATTTTCTACAGCAGCTACACCATTTTACATTTTATTTGCAGTGCATGAGGGTTCCAGCTTCTTCACCTACACCTCTTATTTTCTGTTTTATTTATTCTTGCCATTCTGGTAGATGTGAGGTGGTATCCCACTGTGGTTTTGATTTTGCATTTCTCTAATGACTAATGATATTTAACATTTTTTTTTTAAGAGATAAGTTCTTGCTCTTTAACCCAGGCACCAAGTACAGTGGCACGATCATAGTTCACTGGGCTCAAGTAATCTTCCTGCTTCAGCCTCCCAAGTAGCTGGGAATACAGGCACATGCCATCCCATTGACTAATTTTTTTATTTTTTGTAGAGACGTGGTTTCGCTATGTTGGTCTCAAACTCCTGGCCTCAAGTGATCCTCCTGCGTCAGCCTCCCAGAGTGCTGAGATTACAGTCATGAGCCACTGCACTGAACATCTTTTCATGCACTTATTGACCATTTCTGTAGCTTCTCTGGAGAAATGTCTGTTCAGGCTTTTTGCCCATTTTTAAAATTTGATTGTTTTTTGTAGTTGAGCTCTAGGGGTTCTTTATACATTCTCTATATTAAACTCTTATCAGATATGTGATTTGCAAATATTTTCTCTCATTCTGTAAAACTATCTTTTCACCTTACTGATAATATCCTTTGATGCCCAAGTTTTTAATTTTGATTAAGCCCAATTTATCTATTTTTTTCTTTCTCATTTTTTTGTATCATATATAAGTATCCATTGTCAAATCCAAGGTCATGAAGATTTATCATTATGTTTTAAGATTTTAGCTCTTATATTTAGATTATTGATCATTTTGAGTTAATTTTTCTATATAGTATGAGGCATAGGGGTCCACCTTCATTCTTTTGCATGTGGAAATCTAATTGTTCCAGCACCATTTGCTGAAGAGACTGTTCTTTCCACATGGAATGCACTTGGTACGCTTGTCAAAAATTAGTTGGTTATTGATCTATAGGTTTATTTCTGGACTCTCATTTTTATTCTATTGGACTGTATGTCTAGCCTTATGCCTGTACCACACTGTTTCTATTACCTGTAGCTTTATGGTAAGTTTCAAAATCACGAAATTCTCTAACTTCGTTTTTTTTTTTTTAAAGATTATTTTGGTCATATGGGGTCCGCTGCACTTCTATATGAATTTGAAGATCAACTTTCCGATTTTGGCAAAAATTTTAGAAATTTGTTGGAATTTTGATTGGGATTGCATTGAATCTGTAGGTTGAGTAGTGTTAACTTCTTAACAATATTGTCTTCCATCCCATGAACATGGGTTATCTCTCCATTTACTTGGATCTTCTTTAATTTCTTTCCATAGTGCTTTATAGTTTTCAGTTTACAAATCTTTCACATCCTTGGTTACATTTATTCCTAGGTATTCAATTCTTTTAGATACTATTGTAAATAGGATTGGTTTCTCAATTTCCTTTTTGGATTGTCATTTCTGTTGCATAGAAACAACTGATTTTTGTGTATTGATCTTGTTACCTGCAACTTAATTGAATTCATATATTCTAGTAGCTTTCTTTTGAATTCTTTGAGAGTTTCTGTGTGTATGTATAGGGTCAGGTGAATAGAGATAATTTTACTTCTTCCATTCCAATTTTGATGCGTTCTTTCCTTTTTCTTATCTTATTGCTCTGGCTAGAACTTCAGTACAATGTTGAATAGCAGTGGTCAGAGTGGGCATCCTTTATCTTGCTCCTGATGTTAGGGGAAAGCTTTCAGTCTTTTACCATTAACTATGATGCTTCCTGTGGGTTTTCCACAAATTCCCTTCATCATGTTGAGGAAGCGCTCTCCCATTCCTATTTTCCTTTTTTCTTTTTTTTAGCAATAAATTATTTTTATTTTATTTTATTTATTTATTTTTTATTTCAGGGTATTATGAGGGTACAAACATTATGGTTACACTTTATGTCTTTGCTTCACCCAAGCCAGGGTTAGAGGCATGCCCTTCCCCCCTACAATGCTCCATTCCTATTTTTCTAAGTGTTTTTATCATGAAAGGATGTTGGGTTTTGTCAAATGTGTTTTCTGTGTCTCTTGAGATAATGTAGTTTTTTTCCTTCATTTTATTAATGTGGTATATTACATGGATCGGTTTTCTTATATTAAAACACTCTTGCATTCCTGGAATAAATCCCACTTGATCGTAGTGTATAATCCTTTTAATATACTGTTGGATTCAGTTTGCTAGTATTTTGTTGAGGTGTTTTGCATCTTTATTCATAAGGGGTATTGGATATTGTAATTTTTTTGTGGTGTCTCTATCTCTCTTTGGTATCAGGGAAATGCTGGCCTTATAGAATAAGTTAGGAAGTGTTCCCTCCAATTATAATTTTGGAAGAGTTTGGGAAGGATCGGTATTAATTCATCTTTAAATGTTTGTTGGAATTCACAAGAGAAGGCTTCTGGTCCAGATTTTCTGTTGGGATGTTCTTCTTTACTGATTGCGTATCTTGATACAGGTCTGTTCAGATTTTGTTTCTTCTTGAGTCAGTTTTTGTAAATTGTGTGTTTCTAGGAATTTGTTTATTACATCTAGGTTATCTAATTTGTTAGATACAATTGTTCATTTTATTATAATCATTTTTATTTCCGTCTTCTCTCTTTTTTTGGTTCGTTGATCCTTTCTAACATTTTTCTAGTCTCTGTTTTATTTATCTCCACTCTAATCTTCATTATCTCCTTCCTTCCGCCAGCTTTGGGTTTAGTTTACCCTTTTTTCTAATTCCTTAAGATGTAAAGTTAGGTTATTGAATTGAGATATTTCTTTTTTGCGAGGGAGATGTCAAATGATCCTTTATTGAAATATTTTTCTTTGTACTTGTTAACTAGCTGGGCATTCCACTGCACCACTGTTGATGTCATCTATGATGGCATGAGGATGGTGGCCATCAACATTGCAGCCCACAGACTGGGCAGTCCCCAGGATCTATTTAATGGTTTCAGAGAGTTCTCTGGCTAAAGATCGGTGCCACATCTGTCTGACAGTGTTGACAATCTCATCAAAAGTGATGTTTCTGTTGTGTTTAATGTTTTTCTGTTTCTTTCTGTCTCCTGGTGGTTCCTTGAGGGCTTTGATGATCAGGGCAGAGGCAGAAGGTACCACTTCAATCGGACCTGTCTATTCTGAATAGTTAGTTTCACTGTAATCCTCAGACCCTTCCAGTCACCAGTTGCCTTGGTGATATCATCACCAACGTTTTTTTGGAGACACACCCAGGGGGCCAATTTTGGGAGCCAAGGCAGACATGGCACCGACTTCACCACTGGTGCACCTCAGGTACATGACTTTGATCATATTGGGGTCAAACTTAGGTGGCATGGTAGAGACAGCTGGTGTCGTATGAACCCAGATTTGGGACTGTGGAAGAAAGTTGCCTTGGCCTCCTCTGAGCTGAAAACTGAAAGTGAGATATCTCTTTTTTTAATGTAGGTTTTTACTGCTACGGGTTTCCCCCTCAGCACTGTCTTTGCTGTGTCTCATATGTTTTAGTATGTTGTGTTTTCATTTTTGTTCATCTTTAAGCTCTTTTATCATATTTAACATAGTTTGGTTTTTTTTTTGTTTTTTTTTGTTTTTTTTGAGACAGAGTTGCCACAGGTATAGTGCCGTGGTGTCGTTGTAGCTCACTGCAACCTCAAACTCCTGGGCTGAATCCTTTTGCCTTAGCCTCTTGAGTACCTGGGACTACAGGCACATGCCGCCACACCCAGCTCATTTTTCTATTTTTTGTAGAGACGGGGTCTTGCTCTTGCTCAGGCTGGTCTCAAATTCCTGAGCTCAAGCAATCCTTCTGCCCCAGCCTCCTGGAGTGCTAGGATTACAGGCATGAGCCACCATGCCGGGCCAAGATAGCTGTTTTGAAATTTTTCTATAGTAATTCCAATGTCTGAGCTTCCTCAGGAAATACTTCTGTCAATATATTTCGTTCTTTTGAATGGCGCATACTTTCCTGTTTCTTTGTATGCCTTGTGATTTTTTTGATGTTGAAAAGTGGACATTTCAATATTATGTGGTAATTGTGGAAATCAGGTTTTCCCCTTCTCAAGGGTCTGACCTGTTTTTTGATTGTTGAAGGCTGAGGTCCATTTGTTTCATGAATTTGACGAACTATTTTTTCAGAGTGTGTTTTTCTTGCCAGGTGTGGTCACTGAAGATGCTATGTCTTAGCCTTGTATTTAGGTAGTGTTTGACAGAAATTTCCTTGGATGCCAGGAGTATTGGGCTGAGGGGGCACGAGAGAGAGAAAATAAAACAATTACTAGTTTTGCAGATTGGCTCTGTGCTGGGACTCTTCCTTCAACAGTTAGCCATGTTTTCACTGAGACTTGGTATCAGCCCCAAGTAAAAGCTTAGGGTCTTCACTGGTCTTTTCTAAGCAAAAATCTTACCCTGGGGGTGTGTGTGGCTTTCTAAATTCCCCCTAAAGTGTGGGTGTTTTTGAATGCTCTAATTTCCTCAAGAAATTCTCTCCCCAGTTTTTCTTCCTAGGCTTTAGGTAATCTTTATGTTTTAACAGCAATCTTTTGCCCTACACACCTGCAGCATGTTGGCCAGCCTTAAAAAGTTTCAAGCAATGCCCACAGCTTTTTCATCTTAGGTGAGATTTGTTAAGCAAAATAGAGCCAAGCACCTTGCCTCAGTCCTTGGCTCCCAGACAGGTTAGAATAGACATACACAAAAGTTTTGTTTTTTTTTTTGAGACAGAGTCTCACTCTGTTGCCCTGGCTGAAGTGCTGTGGTGTCAGCCTAGCTCACAGCAACCTCAAACTCCTTAGCTCAAGCAATCCTCCTGCCTCAGCCTCCCAGAGTGCTAGGATTACAGGCATGAGCCACCATGCCCGGCCCACAAAAGTTTTTAAATAAGATCTTTGCTCCTTCAAGAACCACCATGAATCTGTATCCCGCATGGGGTGTATAGGCTGCTGATCTGTGATTGTTGCGAGGCAAGGGAGGGTGCAGGCAAAGACAAGTAAAATCACCACAAAGCTTTCCTGCAGTTTTCCAGTTGCCTTTTTGTTGATTCAGCATTTTCTTGATTGCTGCAAACCTTTGACTGTTTTAAAGAGTCTTAAGATAGTTGGTTCTGACAATTTTGCTTGTTTTTCAGTGTTTCTATTTAGGGATGGGAGGTTAGACCTATCTATTCTGCATTTTCCTGATGTCGCTTCTTTTTGGCTTAGAAACCATTAAAATATTAGATAGGAAAGTGACTTCTATGTCAAGCCATATCAGAATTAGAGATGTTGAATAAAATGACTTTTGAATGAATTTATTTCAAAGTATAGTTTCTTAGAAACCTATTTTTTTCTCCTTATATTAGGCCTTCTCGTTTCATGGATGTGTCATTACGTAGCTTCTCCCTTTGTTGTGACCTATTAAGTCGGGTTTGCCAGACAGCAGTGACTTACTGTAAGGATGCTTTAGAAAATCATCTTCATGTTATTGTTGGTACACTTATACCCCTTGTGGGTGATCAGATGGAGGTTCAGGAACAGGTAATTTCCCAAATCATCTTCAAAATGGCATTTGAAATATATGGCTAAAGTATTATTATAAAGAGCTGAGTGTTTTATGTTTACTTGGTATAATTGATAATTTTAGTGAAAAGATTATATGTTACTATAATTGGTAATTTTAGTGAAAGTATTTTTTGAAAAGTGGCTGAAAAACATTCTTAATGAATTAATCTTTGTAATCAATGAATTACAGAGCACTTGATAATTTTGATCATAACCTGGTAGTTTTGTCTGTTATTTACACTAAAGTATAAAGTAGTCAAAACTAGGAATAGCAATTCACACCATTGTGATGGTGTGTGAGATATTACTTATATAAAATATTTTCTTAATAGTGGCTTTTTTTTTAACCTCAATACTCACCTCACATATTTGTTGAATTATTTGAAAGTACAGAAATTAAAAGCTAGGTATTTTAGAATTAGAACATTTTATCTGAACTAGGATAGTAGAGTTTTTATCATTTATTACAGTAGGTTTTGGTTCTTTAAAATATAATTGTTTCTCCCCTTTTAATTTTTTCTTTTAAATTATATTTAGGTATTGGACTTGTTGAAATACTTAGTGATAGATAACAAGGATAATGAAAACCTCTATATCACGATTAAACTTTTAGATCCTTTTCCTGACCATGTTGTTTTTAAGGATTTACGTGTTACTCAACAGAAAATCAAATATAGTAGAGGACCCTTTTCACTCTTGGAGGTAATAAAAATTTGATCATTTAACTATTTTGTATTACAGAGTGCAGATAGTACTTTTTAAAAACCTCTAATGCTATAGCAGTGAAAACTGGATCTCTATTGTGGTAAAAAAATACATAACATGAGATCTACCCTCTTGACAAATAAAGTAATGAATCTTAATGTAGCTGCTTGCATTGAAGTGTAAATATCAAAGGTTCCTGATAAAGATCTGAATTTAAATATTCAAGGATTATGGTATAAAATATTTTAAATTTTTATGTACATAAGATCTTATGGTCCACTAATATCTCAAAATTACTATCTGGTCCTTTCAGGGTCAATTTAATGTTTGCATTAGAGACAATATTTAACTTTTTAGAGAATATCTCAAGAATATCTCAAAATCTTTTAAAATTAGAAAATCTAATCAAAATTACATTGAGGTATGTTTTTCCATACAAATTTTATTATAGTTTAAAATCTTAGCCTATATTTGACTCTATATCATATGAAAACATTTAAATACATTAAGATGAGAAACTAGAGTTATACTATTAAATAGAAACTTAAGCTTTTCCCTCCAATTGAGTATGCTATAACATCTTGAAATCTGTGTTGTTATGGGAGAGTCTATTACAATTTAAAGGATTAAAACGTTGTAGGGTTTGAAGTGGAAGAAGTGATTTATTTCTACCTTGTTTGGTAGTGATAGCAATGTGAGTCAGTGTCTGTAAAAGGCACTCACTAATTTTTTTCTTTTATTAAGTTTTATTTCACAGACTTAATCAATACATGTTAAAAGCAAGTTACATTTTAACTAATTTTCTCTTTTAGGAAATTAACCATTTTCTCTCAGTAAGTGTTTATGATGCGCTTCCATTGACAAGGCTTGAAGGATTGAAGGATCTTCGAAGACAGCTGGAACAACATAAAGATGAGATGATGGATCTTATGAGAGCATCTCAGGGTACTAATTTTAATGACATGGGTTTCTTTCCTTCGTTCCTTCCTTCATCCCTCCTCCCTTCCTCCTTCCCCTTCTTCCTTCCCCTTTTTCCTTCCTTCCTTCCTTCCTTCCTTCCTTTTTCCTTTCCTCTCCTCTCCTCTCCTCCCCTCCCTTCCGCTCCCCTCCCCTCCCCTCCTTTGCCTTTTTTTTTTTTTTTTGTAGGAGTTGGGGTCTTGCTCTGTCATCCACGCTGGAGTACAGTCGTGCGATCTTAACTCACTGCAGCCTCAAATTCTTTGGCTTAGGTGATCCCTCTGCCTCAGCTTCGGGAATAGCTGGGATATAGACAACAAGGGTTATTTCTACCTGTTTTGCTTTGAAAGAATCTTTTATAAAATCTTGCCCTTGGTTTGGTTACCACAGACTTAATTCAGACTCTCATCATTTAGTTCAACTCCTCATTTCTTATCTAACTGTAAAACTGATCCTAACTGGTCTCCTCACCTTGAATTATTCCAATTTTATTCATCCTTCGCCAGAATGATTTCTCTAAACCCAAATATGATGTTTCTCTAAAAATTTTTAACAACTTTCAGCACCTAAGAAAAATTCTAATTCCTTAGAGCCAGGCATACAAAGTAGTCATTTTTGCCTTCTACTCCAACTTACTGAATAAAAGAAAAGTATCTTATTAATATTTTAAGCCTTTTAGACGTGTAGTTTATGTGTGTTGTGTGTATGCGTAAGTACACATATATTTATGTTTCTAGCTTATTTTTTACTTATGAAAACACAATTAAAATTTTATGTTAATTTTATCTGAGTTTACATTATTACAGTATGGCACATGGAGAAAACTTTCTGCTTATGTTTTGATTTTCATCTTCTTGTGCTAATTAATTTCATATCTCTATTGTATTGTTTTTATCCTAAAGACTTTTTAAAAGTTAATTTTAGTTTTTCCTATCTGAGCATAGAGTTTCTCGTATATCTGTTATGAAATATATAAAATACGAACACTAATATCTTTTGTTTTTGTGTGATTGAGTATTTATTGGCTAGACCTGCCTTGTACAATATAGCCACTGGCCATTTGTGGCTATTTAAATGAATTAAATAAAATTTGAAGTTCAATTTTTTCGCCATACTACTAACACATGTCAATGTCTCAGTAGTAGGCCAGGCATGGTGGCTCATGCCTGTAATCCCAGTGCTTTGGGAGGCTGAGGCAGGAGGATCACTTGAGACCTGGAGTTCAAGGTCAGCTTGGGCAACATAGCAAGACCACATCTCTACAAAAAATTAAAACATTAGCCAGTGTGGTGACATGTACCTATAGTCCTAGCTACTTGGGAGGCTGAGGCAGGAGGATCATTTGAGCCCAAGAGTTAGAGGTTACCATGAGCTGTGATCATGCCACTGCACTTCATCCTGGGTGACAGAGCAAGACCCTGTTTCAAAAAAAAAGTTCTTAGTAGTATAGGTGACTAGTGGCTGTCATTGGATGGTGTAGATTATAGACATTTCCATCATTGTAGAAAGTTTTACTGGACAGTGCTGATCTAGACTCTAAATGCTAAATGTTAAAAAGCCAAGCAGGCTCCCAAGGTCCCTTCTAGCTTTAGTGTTGAATGATTCTTGTGTTTTTAATTGTGCTTTAATTGTACTAAGGTATTGACTTCTCTGCAAAATTTGCTCAAGACATTTTTCTTTGTCTGCTAAATATTGCTAATCACTTCCAGATGGTTCTGTTTCATAAGGAAGTTCAAATTCATTTCCTACATATTTTTTGAACTGCTCATGAGTTAAAACCTTTTTTATAAAAGTTTTCTAGTCAGATAATTTAACATATATGTATATTTTAAACAAAAGTGTTACTTCCATGCTAATTTAATTTTTTTGAAATTATTCCTAGATAACCCACAAGATGGTATTATGGTGAAGCTGGTTGTCAATTTGTTGCAGTTATCCAAGATGGCAATAAACCACACTGGTGAAAGAGAAGTTTTAGGTAAACTGGAGTCATGCGCTGCATGGTGATGTTTGGTCAACGACAGGCCACGTATATGATAGTGGTTTATAAGATTATAATACTGTATTTTTACTTTGCCTTTTCTATGTTTAGATACACAGATTCTTACCACTGTATTACAGTCGCCTCCAGTATTCAGTACAGTAACATGCTGCAGAGGTTTGTAGCCTAGGAGCAATAAGTTATATCATGTAGCCTAGGTGTATAATAGGCCTTATCATCTAGATTTGTGTAAGCATACTCTATCATGTTCACACAATGAGAAAATTGTCTAACGACACATTCTCAGAATGTATCTCCATCATTAAGCAACACATGACTATATTTGGCTGAATGAATGTGAGTTTTATGTTTGAGTGTCATTTTTATAATATCATCAAATAATTAAAATTTGTCATTCGGGATATTGGGGAAATACGAGATGGTAGCTAAGTTATATTTCTGTTCAATTCAAATGCCCCTAAGCAATCTCCCTTTTATATTTTTCTTCTTAAATATTGATATAAAATGAAAAGTTAGTGATTTACACATGTACATAACTTAATTTGAAAATGTTTAATATTTAGGAAAGTCAGAAATACCTATTTTTAGAGTTAAGTTGCAAATATATTGACTTCTGGTATATTTTATAAGTATATTATAACTGATACTTAATGTCTTTTGTTATATAACAGACTTAAGAATGAAGATTTGGAGAGCTAGATTAAACTCAGATATTAACAAAGCATTCAAGTCCTTTCCTACTGCCATTTGGGAGGCAACTTAATGTAAAATAAATGGCCAACATCATGTATAGTATAGGTGTTTAGATTTGGTGATCATGGGATGGAAAAATCGCATGATTAAAATTAACTTGAAGCTGTCATGACAACATTGTCTCAGGTAGAAAAATGGGAGGAATAAGTGGTGCTTCACAGATGCTACTGCCTTTCAGCAGTCTTTCTTAACTTCTTGGTGGGAGCCTAGTATCTAGGATACTTTCTTTTTATAGATTTTTTTATTGAAATATATCTTACATGTAAAAAATTATACAGATCATAAGTGTCTAGCTGGAAGAATCTTCTCAGAGTACACTTGTGCATCTAGCACCCAGACTAAGGAATAACTTCGCTAGAATTCTGGAAGTTTCCTTTGACCAAGGAATTTACCCCTTTATAGTAGCACTGCTTCTAGGTACAAACCTAATTTGCTACAGGAGCCTCCTGTGTAGCTTTCCTGTATAGCATAAAGTCATAGTGGGTTGAATCCATAGCTAACGTCATACTCAGTGATGAAATTTGAAAACTTTCCCCTAAGATCAAGAATGAGACAAGGTTGCCCACTTTGACCACTGCCGTTCAACATTTTATACTAAAAGTTATAGCCAGAGCTATTAGACAATAAAAAGAAATTAAAAGCATGAAAATTAGAAAGGAAGTAAAACTATCTCAGGTCACAGATGACGTGATCCTATATGTGGAAAATCCCAGAGAATATACATGAAAGCTACTATAGAGCTAATAAATTCATCAAAGTTGCAGGGTACAAGATCAACACAAAAATCATTGTGTTTTTATGTACTAGCAATGTACAATCAGAAAGGAAAATTGGGAAAACAATTCTATTTACAATAGCCCTTCAAAGAAATAAATACTTGGGAATAAATTTAAGCAAAGAAGTGAAAGACTTATATACATTCTGTTGTTAGAAGTGAGTCACTAAGTGTACAGCCCACACTTAAGGGAAGGGAAATCAGTCTCCAACTTTTGAAGGGAGGATTTTCAAATAATTTGTGGGCATATTTTAATAAATACCACCATAACTTGGAAAGAGCGTAAGGAGTCCTCTGGGATGCTGAAAACACTCTATCTTCATCTGGTTAGGGATAACAGAGGTGGAAAAAAATGTGTGTGTGTATACATTTTCACTGAATTGTGTGTTTAAATTTATGGAATTTAGGCCAGGCATGATGGGTAATGCCTGTATTTCCAGCACTTTGGGAGGCAAAGGCAGGAGGATTGCTTGAGGCCAGGAGTTTGAGGCCAGCCTAGGCAACATAGTGAGACCCCTGTCTTTACAAAAAAAAAAAATTTTAGCCCAGCGTGGTGGTGCATGCCTGTAGTCCCAGCTACTCAGAGGACTGAGACAGACAGATCACTTGAGCCTAGGAATGTGAGGCTGTAGTGAGTTATGATTGTTGCATTGCACTCCAACCTCGGAGACAGAGCAAGACTCAGTCTCTAAAAAAAAAATATATAAGTAAATAAATAAGATTTATGGAATTTATGTCTGTGATAGCTCAAAAAAATTTTAATAGATTTAAGATTGATACTCTCCTACAGTGGCCATGTTTATGCTTTCATCCTATTTAATACCTACAATTTGTTACTAGTTAATCTATCTCATAGATATAATTCCATAGGGGAAACTATCTATTACCCATATGGATGATATGTAAAGGAAAGGATAAAGTATTTTGTAGTTTATTAACTCATTATCTTTGAAAACACACTTAAATCTTGAAGTCTAACAAAACAGCATTATGTTTTTGAAATTAGAAAATATCTGTTTTATGTATGATCTTATACCTATGACTCTACTGAATTAGAATTTCTGTATGTAGAGGCTGTTGGAAGCTGCTTGGGAGAAGTGGGTCCTATGGATTTTTCTACCATAGCTATACAGCATAGTAAAGATACATCTTATACCAAGGCCGTTGAGTTATTTGAAAATAAAGAACTTCAGTGGACCTTCATAATGCTTACCTACCTGAATAACACACTGGTAGAAGATTGGTGAGTATTTATTGCTACCTTATATCTGATCGTACTTACTTAATCTGAGAATGATACTTCACATAAATTAATTATTTCCAATGACTAAAACTTTGTCCTGTAAGTTCACATACATTTTTTAATATCAAGTATTTTTATGAAAATTCTTGTATTTTTTATTAAGTCATATAATCATTGACCCTCCTATGTACCAGGCACTTGATACATACCAGGTCCCTATTAAATTCTAGTGAGAGTTGACTGGACAAATAAAGAATAAATAAGAAGAATACCAGGCGGTTCTGCACAGAAAATTAAGATAGAGAAATAAAGTGTGATGTTTCAGGCACTTGTCAAAATCAGAAATGCCACTCTCCTCTAAGCTAGGCTTTATTTTGGTCCTTTCAAAACAAGCCATAGAGCAGAAGTTTCGTAACCCCAAAAGTCTTAAGCTGATCTGACAGGGTTTTCTATTGCTCATTTATTTTCTGCAAAACAGAATTGCAACAGATATTACCAAAATTTCAGCTTGCTGGTTGTGAGATTACTTTTGTGTGTGCGTGAACATGCACTCTCTCTCCCTCCCCGCCATTTATTTATTTATTTGCCAATCAACTGATACATTTAAGCACCCCATCATTTTTGGGGGGGTAGATGCAAATGGTTTTTCCCACAACCAGGCCTCTTTCTAAGGTAAATATGTGTTTTGATTTCCTTTCCCTCTACCCGCCTTTCTCCTTCTCTTGGATAATAAATGATTTGCAGCAATGTTTACCTGCCATGTTTCCATTATTGATTTAATACACCTGTATGTTTCTCTCTTGGGTTGTTTGTGTTACATTAAATAGGCTGGCATGGTTTCTTTCCCAACATTTTATCACAAAAATTTTCAAACATACAGCAAAGTTGAAAGCGTTTTATGGTATACACCCATATATTCACCATACAGATTCTGCTGTTAACATTTTACTACTATTCTTGCTTTATCGTGTCTAGCCATCCATGTATCCATGTATTAATCTATCTCATTTTAAAAATCTATTTCAAAGTATATCTGGCACAGGTTTTGAAGAGAGTTCCACAGAAGATTTGCAAGCATTAAATGTTTCATTTGTTACATAGCAATTTTAAATTATTTTTTCTGAAATAGATGCACAGGGATATTAGTGTGACTTAAACTTGAGAATAATAGGGAACAAGTACAAATTTTTTCTTTCTGTAAGAGGAAAAAAAAATTATTAGGTGTTTAAGGGGCTTCAGCATATAAAGGAGGTATTGACCAAAGAATTCCCAGAATAGCTGGTCAGGGAAGGCTTCTTTGAGATAGTGTCTTCTCAGCTGACCTGAGTGGTCAGGCATCAGCTGTAAGATGATTAGGGGTGAAGCATTCCATATAGGAAATAGCTAGAGTGGAGATAAGTTTGGTGTTTGAGGGATAGAAAGAAGCCTGGTGCAGAGAAAGATAGTAGGAGATAAAATTGGAAAGGTAAGACTAATTCTCATTAAGAAATTTTAATTTTATTTGAAGTATATAAGGAAGCCATGGAGTTTTAAGCAGAGTTGTGTGATGCAGCTTACATTTTTACTCTGGTTTTTATATAGCAAATGGATTTCAAAAGGGCAAAACTGTAAACAAGAAGATCGATTATGAAACTATTGCAGTAATCCAGAAGAGAAATTATGGTGACTTGGATTAGGGTGGCAGTAATGGAGACGAGAGACCTGGATGGAACCAGGATGTGTTTTTTAAAATAGAGCCAGCAGGACTCTATGTTAATAGAGGACTTGCTAATGAGTTGGATATGGTGGAATGAATTTGAATCTAGGTTTAGGGCTTATGCTTCTGTGTCTTAAACCTAGAAACCTAAAAGGAATTAAGCCTTTCTTTGATCACTCATCATCATTACAGTATCAGGGTTTATGACATTTTTTGTTAGCTGTCATATTTTCAGTACTCTTGTATTACAGCCTTCCTATTTTGAATTTTTTGTAAAAGAGAAGGACCTTCAGTTTTTTAGTAGAGGTTTTAGATGCCTTACCTAATGATTCTCTATAATAGATTCTGGTCAGAATAAGTGTGTATTTACTGTTTGTTTAAAATTGTTTTTGACAATAATTTTATCATTTGGGGTAAAATGCCATTCTACTCTACCCCAAATTGTTTGTAGCTCTCAGAGAAAATATTTTTTAAGGTGAATTAGTATTCTATCACTTGCATTACTCATGTTTATTAGGTTGTGTTATTATCAAGTATTTATTTTTATGAATCCTTTTAATTTATAGTAGTCACAATGTAAACTTTATTATATTAAA